TCCTTTACTCCTCTCTCAAACCATCGTTCCTCTCTGTCCAGGATGTGAACATCTTCATCCTTGAAAGAGTGACCGCTGGCCTGGAGATGAGTGTAGACCGCAGAGTCCTGGCCTGATGATGTTGATCTTCTGTGCTGGGCCATCCTTTTGGCCAGTGGCTGTTTTGTTTCCCCGATGTAAGACTGATCACCCTCCTGACACTGAACAGCATACACAACATTGCTCTGTTTGTGCCGGGGGACTGGATCTTTGGGATGAACCAGTCTTTGCCGTAATGTATTTTGGGGTTTAAAAGCCACTGGGACGTTATGTTTAGAAAATAAACGTCTCAGTTTCTCTGATACTCCCTCAACATATGGAATGACCACTGGTCTGGGTCTGGGTTCCTCCTTTTCACCTGATGGCTGACTGGAGTCCTGTTTGGGTTTCTTCTCTGCTTTCAGAAAGGCCCAGTTAGGATATCCACATTGCTCTAGAGCCTGTTTTGTGTAGGATTTCTCCTTCTGCCTGGCTCCTGAGTTAGTGGGGATGCTGTCTGCTCTGTGATACAGAGTCCTGATGACTCCTAACTTGTGCTCCAAAGGGTGATGGGAGTCAAACTGCAAATACTCGTCTGTGTGGGTGGGTTTGCGGTACACCTCGGTTTGCAAATGTTCTCTATCAGAGACTGAGACCTCACAGTCCAAGAAAGCCAACTTGCCATTTTTTACATCTTCTCGTGTGAACTTGATGTATTTATCCACAGAGTTGATGTGGTCAGTAAAATGTTGGACTTCCTGAGATTTAATTTTAACCCAGGTGTCATCAACATACCTGAACCAATGACTTGGTGGTGTCCCTGAAAAGGACATCAAGGCTCTCTTTTCTACCTCCTCCATGTACAGGTTGGCAACAATAGGAGAAACTGGAGACCCCATAGCACACCCATGTTTCTGCCTATAATATTGCTCCCCATATGTGAAGTAGGTTGACTGCAGGCACAGTTTCAAGAGTTGACACAGTTGTTCTGTGGAAAGCGTGGTCCTGCTGCTCAGAGTGGTGTCTGATTTTAATTTTAAACTGACCACCTCTACTGCATCATCAACAGGAATGCACGTAAAGAGTGATGTGACATCAAAAGAGACCATTGTTTCATCAGTCTCCATGATGACATCCCTCACCTTGTCCACAAAGTCCATGGTGTTCTGTATGTGGTGTTCTGAGCTGCCAACTAAAGGGATGAGTACAGACGCCAGATATTTGGAAACATTGTAAGTGACAGAGTTAATCATACTAACAATAGGTCTTAAAAAATATCCTGATGCATGCTCAATAATCTAGGTAGAAAAATCCAAAAAAGTTCAATCTGGTCCTCTGGACATTCAAAAAAACAAAAAACAAAACAAAGCAAAAAAATGTAGAAACGTTTTGTCTCTCATCCAAGAGACTTCCTCAGTCTGAGGTGCTGTATTCAGCTCAGTCTCTTAAATAGCACCTTCTCAGGGTGGATCAACCAGTTTTGCTGCTGACAACCAAAACCAGCTGATCACATGCTCAAGAAGGACCATCAGCCTAACAATGGATCATTAGCACCTGATGGCTGTTTACTGTTCACAGAGGGCTGAGTGATACTAGCAATCACAGCATTGTAAGAGGGGGACAGTTGAACCCGGAGGCCTCCACCCCTGTTGTGATGGTGGGAAAGGTGAAACACCCACACCTTCCTCCACCCTCATTTGCCCCACTCTGGGCCCTTGAGCAAGGCCTTTAACCCCCACCTGCTCCTCTGGGCACCCTGCTCCACCCAGAGGGCTGTGGTAGCTCGGTGTTCTGTGGTTGAGTCAGGAAGGACATCCAGCGTAAAAACAATCACCAAGTCTTCGTGCGACTAGTTCACTGTGGTGACCTCTGAAGAAGGGAGCAGCCGAAAGGAAAACATAAAATTTAAAAAATAAAAAATAAAATAATGATGTAATGGGTATAAACAAAAAGCAGAGACACAGACAGAAGCAGAGTTGTGAAGGTCAACAGTTCTCTTCTTGACATCTGTTTGAGCCTTAATGCATCCACAGGTGTGTCCAGATGTTGTCAGTTAACCAATCAAAAGCTTCTAAAACCATGACATCATCATCTGATTTCCCCAATTTATTTAAAGCAGAGTAATTTCAGAGTCTGTTAACTTGTGACTGAACAAAGAGTTGGGGGGGGGGGGGGGGGGTTGGAATAATTATTTGGGCATTTAGCCATAAATAAACATCATTCTGTGAATCTGACCTAAAGCAGGAAAGGTTTAGTCTGATTTAATGTCACACAGTGAAAAAAACAAAGTTTGGTCTCCAGTGTATGTAAACATCTGGTTTCATCCACTTCCATCCTAATATTTATGTGAACATATAAACTGTGACTTGTCTTAAATCCAGAGGGACTTGTTTCCTTCTCATTTTAATCAGAGTATTGATGATGACTCACTTTGTTTTTTACTTCAGCAGTTTGTCAAAATGTTGAATTGTAATTGAATTACTGAGGATTGCTCTGTGAAACTTTAAACTGACTGGTTTGTTTTGCTCCTTGTCATCATCACACATTTCATTCACGTTTTATATTAATCAGCTGAAACCAGCACCTTCTGCTGTAACAAACACAGAAATGAAATTCCTTTGGTCAAAACTACAGATGTGCAGGTGCAGACCCCTAACCTAGACCTACAGAGCTGACATGATCCTGTGTGAGCAGTGAAGCTTCCCACCTGTCCGCGTCCTGCTCCGCACCTGATGGACCCACGTCCACCAGACTCCCGGCTGAGGACGCCACCGAGGGCCTCTTGTCCAGGATGTGGCTGGAGCCGCTGCAGCTTTTAGTCCGGAACAGTTTACTCAGCCGGAACTTTAACGAGCCCTTCTTGGACTTCCCGTGAACATTAAGGGTTCGGTCCCGGCCCGCAGCGCGGCCCGTGGGGGTCCGCGGCGCGCTGGCGCACCTCTCCGTGCGCCTTCTGGGCGTCGACGCATGGCTCGGGTTCGGGCTCGTGGCCCAGGGAGAACTCTGGACCGGTGTGGGTGACTTGGTCTTACTCCCGGAGGGGCACACCTGCTCCGGGTCGGTCTCCACCCGCCGCCTCAGCTCCAGCTGGAAGCTGCTGATGGAGAAAGCTCCAGACATTTTCTGAGCTATCTCCCTTTTCCTGGCGAGTAAGAACTCTTGGCGCGCGTGCTCGTTGTCCGCCTCGTCCTCTGGACACTGGTCCATGTCCAAGCAGTCCACGTCCCCGCTCCCCAGTCCTCCCAGCACCAACAAAGCGTCGCTGGTCTCCGTCGGGTCATCCCCGGGCTCTGCAGCCACCGGTCCGTGCGCGTTCTGACACGAGCACTGCGGGAGCTCACCTGCTTTGAACAGCATCTTGGGTACCGACCCGACCCCCAGCTCTCCGAACCTCCGGGCCAGCTGGAACACGGCCCCCTCCCGGTCCCCGGTGATCACGGCCAGGGGGTCGGATGTGTCCGTGATGATCCGGTGCCGGTGGCACGGCTCCGCAGCTCCCCGGGTCTCTGCAGGTGCTGAAGGATGTGCGGTCCATCTCTGGTCCAGCGGGTCCTGGTGCTGCCGGACACCTTGCAGACTCAGAGGGTTGTTGCTGACAGCTGGACCGGAGCAGCCCGGGTTCTGGTCCAGCGCGTTCCTCGGCTCATTCAGACGGTCCAAGTCCAGAATCAGGTCTCCGTTGTGGATTATGTTGGAGAAGACCAGCAGCTGAGGCCGCAGGCCGGGGCTGGGAGCGAACTCGTAGCCCTGGGCCTCCCTGGGTGTGTGTGAGGGGGGGCTGAGCGGGGCCGGGCCCTCCGTGAGCCCGGTGTCAGGTGCAGCCCTGCTCGGACGGCCTTTGTTCGCGCGGCCGCCGGGACGCTCCAGGCCCGCGCGCTGCTCTCGGCCGATGTCCAGAGCCGCCTTTCCGCCGCTGTGAGCCAGGACATCCTTCCCCAGTCCTCCCAGTGCCACAGTCCCGTGTTCGGTGTCCAGACGGTCCTCGGCCGCGGAAACCAGGCGCATCAACACGAAGTCGGGCGACATTTCCTGCGCGTTGTTCATAATGACTGCACGGGATCACGAAGAGAAAAGCATCGGGGCTGTTATCCGCGGAGGTTCCCTCCCTATGAGAGAGAAAGGGCCGAGCCGCTCCTGCTTCCCATGTAGCTGCAGCTAAAATACCAAAAATATGTGAAATAAATCAGTGAGCTGTTTTCATCCTCCCCCCTCCGGCAGGACGGCGTCCATCTGCAGCCTGGTCCCGGTACCGGCCCACAGGGGCGCACATGCGGTCTGCTGCTGGTCTGGAGGAACCAGAGGAGTCAGGGACCACAGTCCACCACAGCCTGTGAGCTCCCAGCCAGACCCCACCCGCAGCTCCCTCCACCCCCACCTCTCAGCCTCATGAGCACCAATGATGAGGAGCATCACAGCTGGGGGTTATTTTCAGTCCGGCTTCCAAACACAAAGACATCAAATTAAAGGCATAGATTCCTTCAGGGAATGCATGTCGCCCGCCGCCTTTCATGAAATTTAGACTAAAATCATATCAGGTTGAGAAATGAGTTGTTGCAGTTTGTGGTCAACCCTTGAAAATAACATCTGTTCAGTCTCGCGAGATGTCACATTTATGTGAATGACTCTCAGCTACTACCACATCAAAACTGAGCTCTGTTCAGTTTAAATAACTACGTTGTTGACATTTTGTGTTGTATTGATGGATCGATGGATGGATGAACAAACAGAAGGGTGGGTGGATGGATAGATGGATGGATGGACAAACGGATGGATGGATGGATGGATTGATGGATGGATGGATGGATGGATGGATGGATGGATGGATGGATGGATGAATGACAAGCAGTTGGATGATAGATGGAGATGGACAAACAGATGAATGGATATGGATGGATGGACAAATGATGTATGGATGGCTGGATGGATGAACAAACAGATAGATGGATGGATGGATGGATGGATGGATGGATGGATGGATGATGGATGGATGGATGGATGGATGGATGGATGGATGGATGGATGGATGGATGGAAAAATGGATGGATGGACACATGGACAAACAGATGGATGGGTGGGTGGATGGATGGATGGTGGATGGATGGATGGATGGTGGATGGATGGATGGATGGATGGATGGATGGATGGTGGATGGATGGATGGATGGTGGTATAAGGATGGATGATGAAGTATCAATCATCATTGGCAGCCATCTTCATCTTGGATTGACTACAAAAGCTAATCAGTTGTAATATACGTACAGTCAGTGATGTTGTAATTTGAACCGTTTTATACCCAGAGCAGAGACATCATGAGAGACGACCATGTAAAAAGGTTAGTGATCTTTATTTACAGTGAGTGTTAATTGAAGCAGGAGCTCAGGATGATTCTGTGTGGAAGCATATATGAAGGTAAGTTTGTTGTTAACACATGTATGACGCTCCTTGTTTGAGACAGTTTCCTCTGAGGAGGTGAAGGATTCCAACACGTGATGGGGCAGGAGGTGATGTGCTGAGTCTGGCAGGACAGAAACTCAAGGACTGACTCAATTAGATAACAAGGTGCTAAGGTAAGTGGTTCCAGGCTGTAGATCTCATGGGAAGGTAACCCAGAAGGTGCTCGAGGAAACAGAACTTCCACAGTTAAGTAAATCAGAACTGGTGAAAACACAAGGAATACAGGATAGTAGCTTCTTATCAGAGATGAGGACTGTAGACTTGTTACCCAAAGGTCTTAAATATTCCAGCGAAGATCTGCCAAGCCACAGGTTCTTCAGTACAGCAGACCTCATCAGGCTGGATCAGGAACAGTGTGTGTGAGAGGAAAGCTCCACCCTGACACTGAGGAGCTGCAAGAACTGAGGTTAGTGGCAGGAAAACAGACTCTGCACAAGTTAACACTAGTTTTAAGAAAGCTGCCATCACACCAGAATTAGAGATAACCAGAGAGATGATGGATGGATGGATGGATGGATGGATAGATGGATGGTTAGATGGATGGATGGATGAATGAATGGATGGATGGATGATGCATGGACAAACAGATGGATGGTGGATGGATGATGGATGGTGAATGTATCATGGATGGAGGGATGGATGGATGGATGGATGGATGGATGGACAAATGGACAAACAGATAGATGGATGATGGTGGATGGATGGACTGATGGACAGATGATGTATGGACAAACATGGATGATGGATGGATGGTGGATGGATAATGGATGGATGATGGATGATGTATGGTGGATGATGATGGATGATGGATGGATAGATAATGGATATATGA